AACTGCAGAATTAGGCTTTACTTTTTAGCAGAAGTGATTCCACCAGCACCAGCTGTTCAACACAAGCCACCTTTGTATGCATTTTCTTACGCACAATAAAGTCTGAAAATGCAACCCTCCCCTCCATTCCCTGAAAGTGCAACCGCTAGTGCTTAAGAGCTGAGTTCTGGTCTGCTAGATGTTGGCAAAGCAGAGAGACCCACTGGGCTCCACTGGAACATCTACCCATTTCCCTGAGCGAGAATGATCGCCCTAAATGAAATCAGAATTTGGCCTTGATTTCTTCATATAATAAAATGCCGACAGCTAGATTCTCCCGCTTCTCACACCTGTCTAAATGAACAGGCATCCCTGGAAATGAAGTCCTGACTAGCGTCAGTCCAAATATCAGAATCTGACTTTCAGCAGTTATCACTGTTTCACTAGCCTTGAGGTGGAAACTGCTGCCACTTTTATGCATGGACTGAAAGCTTGCCTAGTTACCCTGTAACTTAATTAAGTATTCTCTCCATCATCCGACAAACTGCTGCTTAACACATTCTGGCAATATGCCTCTCATATATTGCAGCAGATATGGCTGGCAATGCATGGAGCTTATCACGGGGTATTAATTACTTGAGTATAAATAACATTCCCTCTTATCTCAGCTTCATGATCTACTATTTCTGATGGAAATACGTTCATAATAACAAGTGAGAAAAAACTACGAGGGGGTAAATTTAAGCCTAAAAATGAGTGACAGGTCTTGCAATGAGTGAAAGTTAAAGCCAGGCAAATTAAAACAGAAAGTAAAGGTACATTTCTAATAGTCATGTTAATTAATCCTTGGAACCAACTAGGAAGGCAAGAGCTGGATTTTTCATGTCTACATATCTTCAGATCAGTCTAAGAAACATAGTTTAGTCAAAATGGGTAGCCTTAATAAGCATAAGCATGGAAACTCATACAGGAGAGAAAAGCACAGAAGGCATAGGTCAGCTTGGCCATACGTGAGCACTAGTGACATTGCACAAGAACAGACCAGTTAAAAAGCCGGGCCTGGGAGAGCAACTGATATAATAAAATGACTCGGCTTGCATGGCTCCCTCCCACTCCAATTCCCAAACCCTCGAGCAGAATCAAGCAGAATGCCAAAGCCTTTACTGTAAGCAATTCTCCCTTCCTGCCTCCATTCACAGCTCATTAACTCTCCTGCATTAGAAAGGTGTTTCCCAACTACCCTGCCACAAGGAGAAAAATAAAGAACAAGAAATGTACCTTTTGTTTGTTCAGAAAGTCTCATTAATGATTGCAGGACAGAAACACACACCTGAAATTAAATTACTTTCATGACTCCGCACTGCTGAGGGTTGCAGGACGTGTTTGTGTTGTGCAATGCAGGCGTTAGCTGTATGGTGTTGGAAAACCATTTGAACATGCAATAGGGGTAGCTTCTGAGAGCTACTGTCATGTGTGTGCATGTGTGTGTGTGACAGGAGAGCTAGCTATTTTATGTACACAGACACACAAGTGTACATTATCGTGGATGGATACTGTTGTGAATTTTGCTTATCAGTGATACATTTATAAGGCAGATGTAATTATTCAATGTTTTGAATATGTATTTTTAGCTTGTTTACTGGGTACATTATATAAATATGAATGGTTATTTGTGCCTGAATAGTGTGTTTACAAGTTATAAATGTTTCTTGTGGAGTATTAGTTAATATTTTTGAAAGTACAGAGGCTTATGAGTGTATAGCATACACTGGATATTTATGTGGGTGGACATATCTATGTGAGCTATTTCAACTCACATAAGAGATGCAGACTTGTATTTAAATGTTCATTACAGCAAAGAGTGGGTCTATTATGCTTTTATTCCCATGGATTATTGTGCTGCACATGCTTGGGGAATGGCAGGGAAACTGATAAAATTTTCAGAGGTGACAATTCTGGAAGAGGAAGAGGGTCTCTCCCTTACTTTCAGAAAAATTCAATATGCTCATTAAAATAAATCTCTCTTCGGGATACAGTTCGGGAAAAGGAGAACACAGGACAGTCCTGGGGTCTGCCTGAAATGCTTTGGAAAGGGTATGACTTGACCGCATTACCAAAACCCATGTAACTGATTGTCAAGCTACACAACTTGAAAACATTCCCCCCCTTTTATATATCAAATACAAGGTGCATTCAGCTCTGGAGGATATCCTCCTCCAGATCTGCGTAGCTTATTAAAAAACACAGGAGGATGTTTCTCCTATTCTACAGAAGTCAGGGAAGTTCTTTTGCTACCGCTCACGCTGGCACCGTTTGAAGCATCAATTCAACAATGTACTTAGGCATATTTGCAAATTTCAAGCACCGAAACAGTCCATGAAGCCAACAGAGTACACAGCTGCTTAAGGGCTTTGCTCTAGAGTGGAGAAATACACTTCTTGTCTTACTTCCCATGCATTGTAACAGATTTGCACCCTGCCCCACTATGAACCATTCAGCAATTATTCTGCTAGCGATATCTGATGTGCAACAACAAAAATTCCTAATGTGTAGGATACAGGATTTCTCAAACTTGACAGTATTAGGAAAGAGTGGGCTTGTGTGATGAAATCTCAAGGGCAATGAGCAGTTGAAGTAACCTTCTGACTATTTGAAGATGGCTAGCTTCTCTCTGGATGGTAAAAACCATGAAGGAGAAGAAAGGTGCAGATGCAATCTAGTGCCATTTTCTAAGCTCTCTACCTCTGACATCATGTAAGGGACTCAGCAAGCCCTCTCTCATGTTGAATTGAGCTGGACAAGGCAGCTTGTTGGGTAGAGCTTATATAACATGTCTCTGAAGGGCTGAAATTGCCTCTGACTTGCACAGATCAGTTACAGTTTTCCTTTCCATCACTATCCCATACATTAGGAGTTCACTTCAGCTACAGAATAAAAAATTCTGAAAAATAATTTTGACACAGTTATTTTGCAGAGGTAGGGTGAGAAGTGAGGGTGTCGGAAAAAGAACAAACCCTTCTAAGAAACCTCTCCCATTTTTCTCCCTGTATTCCTCCCTCTGTTCCTCTGAGGTTTAGTATGGAAAAAGAGGAAGCTGAGCAGAAAAACTAAAATGAGACCTTTTTGAAAAATAGTACTCTCTCCAAGTCTGCAAGATGCTTTCTAGAACTGACGAGCATTTCAAATGAAGTTATGTCACTTCAAAACTTACTCTATAACATAATGGTAATTCCTATATCCTGGAGGCCAAGCTGACTGCTGGCTCTTAACATGGTATTAAGTACAACAGAGTCATGCCAAGTTCATTTTCCCGCCCCCCTCAGAAAGAAACACAAATTTCTCTTTTATCTACATTGTAACATTAGGTCTCTAATTAAATAGTATCTCTGACCCCTACAGATAGTATTCTCTTTGTTTGCATGTCAATAACACCACTGCTTTCTATTTCCAGTTTATCTTGTCTTTGTATTAATATCAAGAGGCAAAACCATATTTAAGATCCCTAGTGTACAGCTCAGTCCATCCCTACTACAATGTATACTTATTTCATAGATATACATATGGTCCTTCCTATATGTAAAATAACTCTTGCATATTATGTATTCTCCAAGAAATAAAGTTCCATTTTGATAAAGAAGTAATCTGCAGGTATCTTTTTTTTTTTTCACCAAATTTTGGGGGGTAAGGAAAGAGATTTTCCCCAACAAGGCCATTTTTATTCTGTGTTGTTCAAATTTGTGGAAATTTTTCATCTCACAGACTAGATTTCTTCAGCCCTTTTCTGGACATGACAGTCCTCTTTGGGGAAGTATGGTTCTATGCCTGTCTCTTTGTAAAGACTGAAACTGTTAACTCAATTTGGTGCTTCACAGGAATAGCGATCTTAACTGAGCTGCAGGAGGAAGCATGCCTAAAACACTTGAAGAAGTTACTGGCAGGTTAGCATTAGACCTCCAGAGATGTTATTGATTGCCACTGACAGAAGTGAGGAACTGATCCTGAAACACCAACTAACATGCTTGCACTAGCCTGACCAGATAGCTTCAGTTATGTCAGTGCATGTTTCCATTAGCTTTAGGAACCTCAGCATCTAAACCTTTACTTTAAATATGTACTTTATAGAAGAGCAGAGAATTTTGCAAACTGTTACTTACCCAGTCTACCTAGTCCAGGGACTCTGTCTGAAATTCCAGAACATTTCAAACTCCCAGATGGCTACTTACTTTGTTTTAAATCATCAACCAGAACAGAAACTGGGACATCCAGGCCAGAAAAAAACCTTCACTGGGGCAAGATCTAAACTTTCTCTGATCATGAATAGCCTGTGAAATGTGTCAGAGATTCCATGAAGAGTATACGAAGATAGCACTTCAGTTTGAGAAGACAGTCAAAAACACTGGATAAACATGCTAAAGGTTTGCAGGGAAAGTTGTCCTGTTAATATCAGACATTTTGCAGGAAATAAACCACAACGACTGTGACCCTGGAGGAAAAGGCTAAAATCTATTCATAAAAATCATGAAGGCAAAACACTTCACACTACATACCAGGGAGGTTTTTTTCCTCTTCTTTTAATTTAGCAGTAACAATGTCTACAATACATTGACCCACAAATTAAGTGAAGGTATGAAACCACATTCTTCATACGGAGATGGGACATTCTGGACTTTTACTTTTTAAATACCCTCTCAAGGGGGAAGAGTTCTGAACATCCAATGAACATCTTTTGAAACAACCAGTGGTAGGAATTTCGATTTTAACAGTGATCATATTTAGTGAGCCTTGTCCATAGAGATCAAAATGCTTTGCAAACAAGTGCAAAGCTCAGAATCTCACTGTACAGATAAAAGGAGAGGGAAACTGAGGCACAGTGCTGTGCAGTGACTCGCCAGGATCAAGCAGCAGGCAGCAGAGGTCTGGACGTAAATCTCAGCTCTCTGACTCCCAGTTAATTCCTGACTTGCCAGGCCCCAGTTTCCCAGTAAGTGTAGGTGGGTATCTACTGTCCAGCAGTTCAGGTGTTATACAGGCATATCTTCTTTCACCTCTCCCGCTGTCCCATTGGCTCCATTCAATCCTGCTGGCTCCCTGCCTTCTTCCTCTTCTTCTTCTTCCCCTTTTGCTGTCTCTGCTTCTCTGCCTCCGCTCAGAAGGGTGGCACTGGAGAGGTGGCTGAGGAGCTGGCCTTCCCGGCGGGACTCGGCCAGCTCTTTGGCACAGCACACGGGAGTGTTGGTCTCATAAGTGCTGTGGAAGCTGTTATAGTCAACTTCGTAAAAATCCTTCTCCAGGGTGAGGACAGGAGTGAAGCGATGCCCCCACAGCACCTCGGTGTCCATGTAGGAGCTGCGAGCCTGGCAAGTCATCCCTAGATGGAAACAGAGGGATGTTAAATGCAAAGCTTCCTTACATGCTCACCCAACCACTTCTTTCATTTAAAAGCACTTTCATGTTATCTCCATACCTGATTGCTCTGGGACACAGAAAAGGTCTTCGCTTAATAAGCCTCACAAAAGCCTCTACCATGATAAAAGCTGAGCACTCAAAGGAAAAGGGATGGATTCATCGCCGCATCTTCAGACTGTTTCCTGAACCTTGTGCTTATGGGTTTGAAGTCTGGTACCACTAAGCAGCTTCTCTCTCTCCTCATATTGCCTCTGTTGAGGTGTTGCTTGCGTGGCCAATACTAACAGCACTTCTGGTGAATTGTGCTAGAACGACATCCAACCCTGCCAATGCACCTCAAATCCTGACCCACACAAGCCCTAAGTGGAATGAACGACTGCCCTGCACTCCCACTGTGTCTGACCCCATCCCTCCTCAGCTACAGCAGTATCAGCAATTCCTTCCTGCACTTAGGATAGGACGCCAAGGCGTACAGCCTGAAAGGCTATACGGGCTATATATAGGGCCAGTGATTTGTATGATTATATATAGGGCCTAGTGATTTATATGGCAAGCTGGCTTTTAAATACCTCTGGAGGGTTCAGTCCAACTGTATTGGGTTGGCAGAACCAAAACCCACAACAAGACACGGTCAAGATCATAAGCATGTTGAATTCCGTTTATTAATGGATTGTGGATTGAATGAACAGTGGGCGATATGAAGCTGATATTTGTCAAGCTGCTTCTCAGCCCCAAGGATCAGAGTTTATTTATTTACTTTGACAAAGTTTAAAGACAAGCTTTGCAGAGCAGGGATAAGCATTCAGCGTTGGCGTAACTGCGAACAAATTCTCTTGGAATCACCTGCCAATGTCAAGGCTGACTTCTCTTCTGAATGTGTCTTCTGTTTGTCCAAATTATGTTATGAATTTGGAATTAATTCTGGTGAAATTTGGAAAACCTGACCTCACAAAGTCCTCCCACTGTTCTCTTTTGGAGGGTGAGAGATAGGCCTGAGTGGAATACATGCAAAACATACACTTGATCCGGTTCCTGACCAATACTTCCAAGTCTAACTGCTTCAGCCCAAAGTACATAAACAGAAATCTAAAACAATGCATAGGGGGAAAAATAGCAGTGTCAGATGCTTCAGGGAAGAGCATATCATGTATTCTCCCCATGTGAGCTCAACTAAGTGACTGAAATCTCAGAGTAATCAGAAAACTCCTTTCCTTAAAAAAAAAAAAAAAAAAGGCGCCTTTGTGAAAAGACAAATATTTTGTTCTCATAATTGCTACAGTCCATTAAAAGACACCCACACAAACAAGTTCTCTGGAAAGCTTTACTTGTCTCTTACTGCTTTCCTTAGTTTAAAGCTACCAGGCCTGGAGTATATTAGTTGCTTTTGGTTCTTTAAAAGAGAGAAGAGGGATGGTGACACACGCAATACTGAGAAACTTCCAGTTCTGTATCACAGACTGAAAAGCCAATTTTTCCCCCCAAGAAGATCTGCAGGAGTATTTGCTTCTGGGCAGGAACAACAAGTACAGAGTTAGTCACAGTGTTCTAGCATGCCTGCTTCCTGGACCGGAAGGAACCGGGAAGTGCAGAGGCTGCTATGAAAACCACGATAATGGAAGAAGAAAATTACCCCAAGTGTTTTTGCCTTAAGGAGAAGCGCTATTGAGGTACAGTGTCTTTGCAGGAAACTATCAGCTTTTGCTTTACAAGTGAAAAACAGAATGGAGACCACTCCTGACTATATGGTGACACTACAATGTGCAGCATCACCTGCCCTGGACTCCTCAGTCCTTGAGGTGAAGACTGGTTAATCCTCACTCCCTTTTATCAGCTAGCAAAGAGCAACTCAATGCGCAGGCAGTTCATGAAGTCCTGCTAATGTCTGAGTCCTGCTACAGTTTTTCTCAGGAGAGCTGTGTCACTGACACTTATCATCCTGTTGACCCCCCTGGGCAAGGGCTTTTACTACAGGCTGTTTTGAGGGTCAGTAATGTAGGGCTGCAGGGCTAATCCCATTTTCTGATGCTCCCTCATGCTGGGAGACCAGAATGCTAGACAACCAGCAGCATGTGCACGTATGGTAAGGAGACAGTTAAAATAAACTAGCCCTTTTCCCTTTCAACAGAGCTGGTTTGGCACCAGAAATTACAAAGGCCTTCAAGTCCCCCCTCCAAGCTCCGAGGGCTTTCAAAGCCCAGCAAAGAGAGTAGGAGAGGAGACCCCTCAGGCCCATAGGTTTAGGTCCCGTGATTGAACTGGCTAATTCTTGTCATGGCCTTCCAAGTGCTGCAGCTGCATGAAGGTATCATGTAGAAGTCCCCAAGGCCAAGATGGGGTGTCCCTGCTAAATGGGGGGGCCTGAGGCATCCTAAGGGAACTCCTGCCTTATAATCAGGGCCTGAAATAGCTCCTTCCCTGGGGGGAGTACCTGACAGTGAGCCTGAACTCCAGAGACACACTCATAGTTATCTCCTGCTGTAAGTATTCAATTAAGGAAGGAACAATAGAAAGCTTTCAGCAACCAAATACTGCACACTGCCAGCTTCCTGCAGTAGCTGCTTTCTGTAACCCCAGGGGTACACAGAGCCAGCACAATAAGACAACTTGTAATTGCTCCATAATCCCATTCAAATATTCCTTTTTAGCACATGTGCAGTGGTGTTTTAATTGCGTGGGGACATACTGCTTGGCAACTCCTACATTACCCAGTAAACAACAGCATTGTCTCTGCTTCAAATTCCATTAAGTGCCTGCTTTGCAGGCTGCCCTGTGCTCTCCAGCCTGGTTAATTAATGCATCTGTAATGTCCCTAGCTAATTATTGCCTCTGTAACTGCAAAAAGATGACAGAAGAGGTGTGGAAACAATAAACCTTACTTTTATTAAGAGGACATGGGTGCTGCTACTTTCCACTTGCATACAATGTGCCCCGTGCCCTTTGTGCTCCGAATATCTGTTTCAGCTTGCAGTGGGGCGGAGTAATTCACTAGACTAAGATCCTTCATACGTGGCTGTGGGCTTTCTGCAAAAATCAGACGTTTCATTTTGTATGCCTTGCTTATCCAAGTCCATGGGACATCTTGGGTGTCGGGAATCATTAGGCTATATGCTCCTATCCATCAAGTACCACAGCAACGCTGGCACTGCTGTTCTGCTTCAGTGCAGTAGCACTGTCTTGTGCAACCCTGGAGCACTGACATTTTGGAGAGCACAAGAAACTGAGGGAGATTTCAAACTCTTGGAATTTCTTGCAAAAATAATCATAGTACTTATGGCCCTGATAAAGGCTGTTAATCCTTTTCTGAAAGTAGATATAACTACACATTTTGGGTTTAAATGGAACAGATATTTGGTATAGTTACAGAGAAGTGGTAGTTGGTGGCTTGGGCATTTTATTTAAGTAAGCTTCATGTCAAAAGAATATCCTCATTTCCCCTTTGTCAGTCTAAGTAGATGTGCTTAAAAACTTATTTAAAAATAAAGTCATAGAGATTTTTATTTCAAGTGTATCATGTTTTCCAGATAGTAAGACCATTAGAAGTTTAATTTTCTCCTAAACAATCTGGTTTAAAAATGAAAAAGTATGTTTAATATAAATTTGTACAATCTGTCAGTTGCGGAAAATGTGAAATGATATGTGAAATCTTCAGCTTTAAAGTTTTAGTTACAGCTCTCTCGTCTCTTAATTCAGCAGCTTAGCTTTCAGTTGCAAACAAAACTCAATTTTAATTGAAACCAGAAAAAAGTTTCTACAAAGTTATAAGCAGATGCACCAAGTTTTCAATAAAGCTGGAACCAGTTCCAGGCTTTTTAGAAAGCTGGAGACCAGAGGACTGTCTCCTGGTTTCAAGTTCTGCAATAAACATTTCATAGAGTTTTAACGATAATTTCATTACAGCAGAATCCTAAGAAGTGGATTTTTTTTTTTGTCTGTTGGCTGGAGTCACTGCATCACAGATCAATAACAGAGTTTGTGCATGTTCCTGTTTAAGGCAGCCATAGATGGCTTCCTAAACGGCTCATTTCTGGTTTCCAGTAGATGAAAAGATACAAAATATATTGCTATGTGTATTAAACCAGGTGTTTCATTACATTCAATAACAGAGAAAGTCACTGAGGAAAGACTGGTGTGTAAAATAGGTGTCAGGGAACTCTACCAATAAGGCACTTTTCTGTCATCAAAATCAGTTGGGATCAAGCAGCTTATATTTTATCAAAGATAAAAGAATGTTAATACATGCTGACAGAAAGCAGTTATTTGATGGCTCACTCAGTAAGGAGCCTGGTTTTTCTGCAGCGTACTCAATGGGAATTGTAGGTTTCAGAATGTTTCACTGCTTGCAATGCCACTGATCATGCAACTGGAGCAGACGCTTCTGGCTCTGCCACACTGCTTGGAGAAGTGGAGATTGCTCCTGATTTCCAGGTCTTGTATACCCTTAGGTCACCAGTTAAAATCAAACTTCATTATGACAAGCCAAACCTAACTGCATTTGCAGCTGTTTGGTTATCCAGAGATGAACCAGCAGTCTCCCTCCAACTGTTGGAGGATGCGTATTTTTGTCAAACATACCATCATAGCCAGTGCTTTTACTGGCAGTTTAACGGGAGAGGGCAAGGGGACCACAAAGCATGATCTACCAACCCAAGAAATTGCCGCAGGCTTCAATGCGATCACATCAACAGTATAGTTGAACCTTTCAGTACTGCTACATGGCCTGAACTTTCTCAGTGGGTAGAGATATCCCAACCCCTGGGGCTGTCAAGACAACATTTTTCATCAGCTTAAAATTAACTCTCCTCATTTAAATGCCACAGAGCTCAGTGATTATCTGCTGGCAAAATGTCATGTGGATGCTGACTGTGTGTTTGCCATATTTGCTAGGCTTTCTCTGCAGTTCAGACACAGATACTGCTGGAAGTGGTTTCACTTCTCTGTCCTTGTTTTCATACACTATTGTAT